TTTTTGTTATTGTTCCAATTTTGAAGTTTTCTCCTGAACATAAGAGAATACATCATGTCTCATTTTAAAAGCTGGCATTGACATTTCTAGGAGTAAGTCTGCTTGACATAAACATTACTTCAAGAGCATTGCTGACATTTTTTCATGGCTTATATAAATGCATCAGAAAATGTCACTGACAGTCTATAATATACTTTACTGATTGACAGTCAATAGGGTCTGATGAACTGGTTGAATGTAAAAGCAGAGGGAGAGACTGTGAAAGTGTGATAGAAGACAGATTTGCTGAACATATGCAGAAACCAAATGTCTGACTGTAAGTTTAAAGTTTCCTCGCAACTGCCCGTCATCTGAATCTGAAGCACATTGCAAGAAGGCTTATGTGTTAGTTTAAATGTAAACATTGCCATTTGAGCTGTGAGTGCAGAAATCCATTCCAAATGATACAAGGTGCTTTTGTGAGCAATGTGTGGCATCTGAAAAATGTATTTTTAGTTCATTAATGTTGTCAAGGTTTACATTGGCTGGCTATCTGCCATTTTCTGGATAGCATAAAATCTGTCACAGGCAAGGCAAGCTTCCACTGAGGAGAAACAGATTGCTCGTGATGTCAGTGCACTAGGTTAGGGGATATAGCCCTGAAAGTGGAAACCGTGCGTGGCCAAGTGCACAATAGGAGGAAGATTGAGAGGCTATAAATAAACACAGTAATGAGAGTGTGGTGTCACTGTCATCATCATGCCCTGTTGCTGGTTGCCTGTAGTCACACCTTCTTTCCCTTGACCTTTTGACTGTCACGTTTCAGTTCTTGCATCCCTAAATAAAATAAAGAGATGTAAAGAAATAAAAAAATTTAATGCCAAATTTGTTTTTAGTTGTTTTGATAAGCCATTTGATTGGGGAAGTTAGTTAGGTATACAGTAGCCTGTGTGCTAACTAGTTAACAAACACATGCTACACCGAAATCTCTGATCTGTCTTTTTCTTAAAATAACATCAGACATTCAGTTTTAGAATCTTCTCCCTCAAGGTCTCGCAGTGCATGAGAGCACTGTGGGTCACAGAGGGGTGCAGCTGCTTCCTGGTGCAGAAGGAGCATATACTGCAGAATTTTTTCCAGCTGCCACAAATCCCATGTTTAGAAAGTCTTGGTGACTTCTTTGAGTGTAATATTTAGAACTCTGGCTGAAATGACACTGATAATTCCAGTTTACTGTGTGACCACAGTGATTTATCTATAGTTTTGCTACATATATTAGCAAGTTCTGCCACAAAAAACTCCCCAAAACATAATAACACATTAAATCGAGTCATTATCTTTAAAATGAAAGTCAAGTTGAGGTTTAAGAAAGGATTACCATGCAATCAAAATTCACCTTTGGAACCAGTCTTAAGCTAGAGTCACACTGGAAGACCATAAAAAGTGAATGATATTCAGTGACTGCAGGCTGAATAACCACTGGCTAAGCAAAGTGGGTGTTACCCACCCAGATGAATTTCCCTCAACTTCCAGGTGACAACGCAGGATACTGTTGATTGATGTATGACCCGATAATAAAAACATTTAAGTGTTACCTAGGCAACAGGAGCCTGGAATGTCTGCAAGCGATCAGCCATCAGTACGAGCATTGCTTCCAGTTTGGACGCAGCTTTAAGACAATATTCACAAGGTGTGTTCAGATGGCAAAAATACTGACTCCAAATGTAAGTTTTCACTGTGTGGGGAACAACTAAACAACAGTATATCACTACACAGCGGAATTACTGTCTCTGCTGTAGATGTCTGTAGATGCTGTTGTTGTAACTAATATATAAGAATTTGTATTTGCATAACAATTTCTATAAAAATGGCACAATATAAGGAATTTCCATTTATTTACAAGTTATTTATTTCAGTAGTATAGGATATACGATAGTATCTGTTGTTTGTTTTTATTTATTTAATGGTTTTTATTTCAGTAGTATAAAATTTCCACGATAGCAGCAACAGGTATCTGATGTGTTAAGTACAGAAGGGAGTGTTGTCTGCACTCTTATGGTATTCTAAATGGAGAAATTGGACCGTGTTGTGTGTGTACACTGAGGAGTGGTAATGCAGCTGTACTTGTGCACTCATCACTTAGGCTATTAAAAAGGTGCAATTATAGTGCTCTTTGTTTATTCCACTCAGTGCCTTTGTAATCAAGGGTGTGATGAACATTGTAGCGTCTCAGACCTATTATTGTGTAACCTTTTTTTTTTAATACTGTGCACATATTTTCACTTGCTGCAACTATTGTAAACACTAAAACGATATAATGTAAAATCATTTCTGTTATATTTAGTTTATCTTGCAGTACTTTTTGTTCAATCAACTTGAAAATGTGATCCATCTATTTTATTTTTGTTATTCTTTTTAAATGTTTATCAAATTTCATTAGCATGGCATAGTATTTCAAGTGTCGTTTAGTGAATGAAGAGCGAGGGGTGTGCGCCACATCACCGTTTATGGTTTATTCTAGGAATTTGATAGCACTGCACACTGATCAGTGTGAGATTAATGAGATTTGACAAAGCTCACAGCCTAAAAAAGCACAAACTCATGAAAAAACGCTTGCCACGTCCCCAGAGGGCACTTTGATTCCCTCTATCCTCCTGCCAGCTCACTTCATGCCTCGCTCCGCTCTCATTGATGTGAAAATCGTTCTACAGATACGGGAATATCAATGTCTGTCCGTGTGTGCCTGCTTGCTTCTGTTACGCACCTGCTCATTGTGTGTGTGTGTGTGTGTTTGTGTCTGTGTGTGTGTATTATTTTATTTTAGTGCTTTATCCTTTCACATCCGTTGAACCTTCTGTCTGAACTACATCTGAGCAGTGGTGTAGCCGGGACACATCACATAGATGAAAAGAAGAGAGGCTTTTTTTTTTTTATGTACACAGCACATTTAAATTGTATGAGCTTGTTATTGTGCTTTGACTTAGCTTTGGGAGGGTAATTGAAAATGGAGCTGAATACATGGTTTGTTTGCATGTGTGAGACCAATGAAACAGTATGAGGAAAGCCAGCCTCTTGGGTGTGAATTCTGTGTTTGTTTGTTTTTTGTTTTTCAGGGTCTTACAATTGTATATACTTTTCTAATTAAGGGATGTTGTTGTTGTTGTTGTTGATGTTGTTTTCATATGCATCTTAAAATTCTTAGAAATTTACACCCCAGATATTTGTTGTAATCCTCCTCCCCCAGGTTTCCCTTGTCATAAGACTAAAAAAGTTTTTTTAATAACATGACAAGCACAATCTTGCTTAATGAAGATGTCTAAGAAAATCATGCTTCTCACCAAGACAGATCAAGCCTCCAGAGGAAGATGTGGGTGAGTGTGTGGGACTGCTGCATCAGTCTCATCTTGCATGGCCTCGTTTTCACTCTGGAGCATCAGAGATTTACCATAAACCAGAGTAGAACCAGCAAAAGAGTCTAAAATCACTTTATGGTCCTGAGTGGCCCTAGCTCATGAGAGACCAAAGCCTGTGTATCCATGACAACGCTAAGATGGGATCCACTCTCAGCCATTGACTCCTCTCAGTCAGGGCTGAGTGCTGAGGGAGGAAGTAGAGATAAGGAAAGATTCAATTCAATTTGCTCTGAACGTCTGCTTGCCCCTCATGTAAATAGAATGAGCAGGTTATACTCTGAGCTACACAGGAGTAAAGCACTGAAAAGTAGAAATGAGGGCGAGAATTATGTTGTCATGGCTGAGTCATCTTTGGTCCCCAGAGGTGTGGAAATGCTTTTTTTTTTTTTCTCATTTCAATTTTATTATTTCAACCACTTGAAGAATCTCCTGGAAGAAAGAAACAGCACATCTGTCCCATTGAAGTCTCATCTATTTGATAAAGGAAAATTGGTTCTCAAAAAAAGGCTTTGTTTGAGTCCTTTATTTGAAATCTCTAGGACTGTAGTGTTTAATGCTACAGCCTACTGTAAATATGGATACTGCAAAAAGACCTAGAGCAGACCTGCATGGGCAGCAAGGCTTAATGGATCCCACACATGCCGTACAAGTCTCCCTGAACACCTGTGTAACTGGAGGCTTAGTTTATAGCAAGGAGGAGGAAGCAGGTTCGTTGTTAGGTTCCTATCCTAGTCATGATGACCCAACTCTTTTGAAATCAATAGCCATTTCCATCGCTGTCTTGTTAGTCAGACAGAAAGAATCCCAGATGTATACTCCTCTTCTGCTGCTCTACACTTTCTAAATAAAGGTGGTGCACTTTCTGTCACAGTCAGCAATATACTGCTTGCTACATGTACACGATTTTTATATTGCTGTCATGTTAAGTACGACAATGATTGAGATGGTTTATTCCATATTATCAGAATAAACTGATCTGAAATTTACAGATCTGAAAAAAGTTTTTGGAACTAACCATTGTTTTCCACGTAATGGTGAAAAGGTTCCTTTTGACCTCTATTTTTAGTTTTACCCACAGCATGAATACAATCTCCTCCATACACCCCTAATCTCGCTGCTTTTGATCTTAGGATCAAGCTGCATCCCCTGGGCTTGGTGTGTCAGACGATTCCTATTTTCTGTTAGCCAAGCTGACTTTGGGTACACAGACAGCTTTCACTGGGCTCAGTGGAGTTGCTAGAAGAATAAATGCAACTTTTCCACAAATATTTACTGTCTCTTCCCTGTGAAAGACATGATACATGAACAAACTTAAATTGCCTCATTTGTTTTTACATTTATTTACAGTATTTACATTTTTAAAGCCTTAAGAAATTGTATAGTAACCCAAAAATCAAGAAGAAATCTTCAGATTTGCCTGCAGAGTGCGAAAACATTACTGGATTTTTATCATTTCACCTTTTGAATTTCATAGCTTGGTAGGCAAAGGTTATTTTCTGGTGGTGTAATTCCATCTGTGCATGGTTTCTTCATCTGAACTTTAATCTCAAGGATCATGGGACACCTTGCAAGTGAAGTCAGAGCTCATCACTCTGTGTCTCTGTGTAGGTGGAAGAGGTGGTGGATGTCGGGGCTTTTGCTGCAGAGGATATCCACATACCCAGCATCTATGTCCACAGGGTTGTCCAGGGCGCCAGTTGTGAAAAAAGGATTGAGGTACAAAATGATACTTTAAAGAACTCAGACAAGTAGACACATTACATTTGGAAGGCATGCAAAGCATTCTGGATTATGAAATTGTAATGGAAAAAGAAAAAAAAGATAAATCCTGCAGTGATAGAACTGTAGAGATGAACCTTTCCCAAGCTTTTTCGCATTTCTATCACTGTTCAGAAATAGCCTTTGTTGTTTTATTCATGTGTCGTGTTACTCAACCAGAATTAACTTTTCAAGATTATATTATATTTCCATATGTTTCCAGAAACGCACAGTAAGGAAAAGCCAAGAAGAGAAGCCCAAGCCAAAGAAGGAATCTGACATTGTTCGAGAGAGGATCATTCGCAGGGCTGCTCTGGAATTTGAGGATGGCATGTATGGTATCCTTTGATGGAAATGCAAGCAGTGAGAGGATCAAAAAATCATATACATTTGTGAAGCAGTGGCCTACTTTTAACGCCCACCAGGAAAACCAAACCAAAAAGTATCCAGCTGCCACAGAAGAATGCTTTACCTTGGCTTCCTTTATTATCAAGTTGCATAATAAATGATGCACATAATGTGCTATGCTTTTTTCTTTCTTTTTTTTTCTCTTCTCCCTGTGGTCTTTAGTTACATGTTATCGTGACAGCTTCTGCCCTTCCTCGTGAAATCATCCTTAGTTTTTGATCAACTGATCTGTGATTAACCATTCAGTGTTTTTTGGACTTAACATGACTGTTTAGTGACTGTTTAAATGATGCGTACATTTGTTAATCTTAACACCTTTTTCCCCTGTCAGAAATACAAATATTGAAGCTACTGTCTTTAACAAAGAATAATACAAGCTAACCTTGGTATTGGTATCCCCATGATGGCCAGCAACTTTATAAAACCAGACATCACTGTACACCTCCAGAGTGAAAATGGGATTCTGGGGCTGGTAAGACACCTACGCTTTGTTTTTTTTCCCCTTCCTTCAGGTTTCAGCACTTTGAATCTTGACTAAACAAGCTAACGAGTTACATATTTCTTCGTTCTTTGCAGAGACGTTTTTTTTGAAGTGGCAGTAAGCATGTTTCAAACTGAATAGCCATTTATTTAACCAGCATCATTCCTAGTTGGGGCCCTCATTTGAAATGTGTTTCGATTGTTACGTAAGAGATTGTAGCAATTTGACGCTTTCTCTTCCATTTTTTTTCTCATTATTTGCCGGCTGAGCCTTTTAACAAAGGCTGCCGCTGCCGATGCTATAGAGTGGCTCTCCAATCAGTTGTGTTGACAGAATGTAGGCGACTATGGTAATTTCTTATTTGTCAATGTTATATTTATGACTGCCAGTTTCAAAAAGGCACCGATCTCTCCACCTCCTCAGTCTCAAAGGATTGCTCTCTTTGTTGAAAGCAGAGAAAATCAATGCCTCATCTAATCGGAGAAATGTGATTGTGCCTCTTTCTTCAAAGACCATGGCCAGTCAGGCTGAGTGACATGTGTCCTGCCTGCATGTGTGCAAAATTTTTTTTTACCTTTATTTCTTTTTGTATAGGGTCCCTACCCCACTGAGGATGCAGTAGACGCAGACCTGATTAATGCTGGTAAGGGTTATCCTAATGAACATCTAATTTCCCACGTCCTCTGACAAAATTAGATAATTTATTTAAGAGAGTTAAGTATGAAAAATGGTCTGGTAAAATAATAGGGAAAATAAGAGCATTTTATTTTACCATTTTTTTCCCTGCCTGCTTCATGCTTGGCACAAACTTACTCAGATAATACTTGTTTGTTGACATTTGACAAGTGTCCAGTTATCCAGCATCGTTTTTCCCTCTCGAATTCAGCCTTCCATTAATTTTTTTTAATGCCATTGTTGTATGTTTTTCTTTGTTATATACTGTCTTCATGTTCATGTTCATTCACTTCATGTTGCTTTTTGATGTGTTGAGTGTTAAATTCACTGCTATGATAAATGAATTGCAATGCTTTGTGTTGCTTTTCTACAGGGAAGGAGACTGTCACTGTGCTCCCTGGGGCAGCGTATTTCTCCAGTGATGACTCATTTGCTATGATCCGAGGGTAAGTCCATAACACACAAGCTTTTCAAAACTTATTTGTTGAATTCAAGTAAGATATGCCTAACAGTGGTGGACTTTAATGTAAGTCCCTTAAAAATTATTGAGTCACTTATAGCTTGGAGGTATACATAAAGTGAGACCTTTAAAAACAGCATTTCTAATCTATTACTTACTGAGTTTTAGAGTCGTCATAATTTCCTATTTGCTTATCACCTGCACCAAACACCTGTAACGAGAGGCCAAAACCATGACTCACAATGCTGGACAACACTGTCATCAGTACAACTAGACAGCAGCCTTCCAAATATTCCCAAGGTCTTCGGTTCTTATTGATTTGCCAGCTCACTGTGATTGCCCACCCAGACTCCCTGCAGTATCAATTCTTTTTGTCCTCCCAGCAAGAATTCAATATTGCTCATAAATAATACTGTCCTGTCACACTGGCAGGTACCAAATGGAACAACGCTAAATTTGTCCATGTGTGAGTGTGTCTGCCATTGTGCAGATATGCTGGGAAAGAATTACTCAACATATGGTGTGCTGTGAGCCACATTACCTCAGACACCACACTTATTATGTTACACTTGGGCATTTAGACTTTATCACTTCTTAGTCTGTATGTGTTTGTGTGTGGCCAACACCCACCATGAGCTGCTACATTCTTTTGCAGAAACAAAAAGGATTAAAGTGCTTTATGATTATACAGTAGGCAGCAGTACTAATCCGTGCAGCTGTAGACATCCTAGTGCAGGGGTCGGCAACCTGCGGCTCTTTAGTCCTTATACTGCGGCTCCGCGTGGTTTGGGAAAATAAATTAGTATTCAGCTGAAGTGTATTTTATTTATGTTAGTTCTTTTTAACTTGTAGTTCTAAATTGGAAGATTATTGTAATATTGAAATATAAAAATAAAATTATATTCTATTATTTTTTCATCGCTCAAAATAAGAGTCACACTCACGGAAGCCGGTATACCTGCCGCAACGCCGTGCATTTATCGAGACTTTCAACCCCAGGTAGGCCAATTATGGATCTTCGGATCCACATTATGTCAGCAGCTATTCTCCACCGTGAACTATGTTAAAGACAAACACCGCTCACGCCTGACAGATGACAGCTTACAGTCCTGCGAAAACTGACTTCGTACAGCCCCGATTAGCAGACGCTGTGCGCAGAGGTTCAGGAGCAGAAGTCCCATTGTAAACATATCACGGCAGACCGACGATGTTTGCATGAACACGCTTTTCAGCATCTCTTTATTGACCACTTTTCACACACGGTTGCTGTACGCATACAGCCGGCTGTAGCTTTTCACCTCACAGCCCGACATACACCACCAACAACACAACAGCACAGATAGAGCAGACGTAAAGGCAGCGAGGCATGATTGCGGGTGTGGCTCAGGTGCGTCCGCCCCCCTGCAGCAGCGCTGCAGACCACGCCCCGCCGCACGCATTAACCTGGTAAAATACATATTTAGGCAGAATTTTGCAAATATCTATTTTTAATTTTTCAGCAGCATAGTGCTTTTTTACCAATTATTTTTTTAAAAGTCAGGTCAAGGCTCCAACAGCCCAAAGGCGATATAAGGGTGGTGGCTGACAACAGTTTTTGTTTGCTACATGGATCATTTTAGTTCAGCTGGGTGTTTTTCCTTTGGTTATATTCCTTTAAGAGTTCAAAATGTGTTGATTACATAAATAAAATGTAATTTTCTCTGTAGCACTTCATGGATTTCATAAGCAACACACCTTAGTTGTTCACACAAAGCATAAAGGTAAAAAACAATATATACAGTGTTATCTTCATTTTAGATGTCAAAAAGTATTTGCGGCTCCCAGTGTTTTCTTTTGCGTGGAAACAGAGTCCAAATGGCTCTTTGGGTGTAAAAGGTTGCAGACCCCTGTCCTAGTGATACCCCTAACTGCCTGTTGCAGGACTTTACTTTGGACTTTAAACTCTTTATTCTGAAGCAGAGATTGCTTCCAGTGAAGAAAGTATCACACATAAAGAGACAAGTGAAACTTAATTTGTTAATATAGTGGATTATAGTGGTACCTCTAGCACAGGGGTCGGCAACCTTTCTGATGATGAGTGCCATCTAAAATTTCCTCAGAAGTCAGTGTGCCATATAATTGCATTAGCAATAAATTTAATAACGCTCTATACTAACAGTTACACACTATATAGACCAACTTTATAGAATTATATTTGTTCGCAGATGTTAGCAGTTATCAGCAAATAGTTATCAGCTATTTTGAAACAAAAAAAGACACTTTTTATCCATAACAAGAACTCCATAACAGCAAATGAACTGTACAACAGAAAATGCAAATGCTATTTATGGTCTACTCACAACAATGATAAGAAAAATAAACTGGGCCAATATGGCATGTTTGTTAATACAGAGATATACATGCTAATGTGATCTCTGGTCTCCCATTCAGAGACACAGGTCTCCGAGTGTCCAGCATTCAGACGGCTACCTAAGGACACTCTTCGTGTGAGAGAAAATCTGCTCACACAGACATGTAGAGCCAAACACTGTCAATAAGGTCTCTGCAATGTTCTGAAGACAGTTAAACTTGTCAGGTAGTGATGTCCAGCAGGTGAAAATGCAAGCTCAATGAACACGCACAGCTATGGATTCCAGCTGCGTTCGTCGTTCTGCAAACTTTAACCCCCACAGAGTGTGAGTTCTGTCTCGAGTCTACAGATGTATCAGTGTATTTCCACGGTGCTGATGCTGCGCTGAGCGAACAGCTCCTGAAGCATGTCGGAATGTTGAAATTTCAACGTTGCTTGAAAAAACTACCAGCTAGCAGCCTCCCTCTCACAGGTAGGCTAAGTTATTTTTAGCCAATTACAAGTTGAATCTGATAGTTGGGGTTGTTAGCTAAGATACCATCAATAAGAAGCAGCACAACTAATGTGTGTATGCAAGTTAATTTGCGATGTGCACCGCTGG